TCTCTCTCATTTTTTTCGTATGTTGGTTGGTGATCTATTTAATATTAAAAAAATATGGATAAATCCTACTCTACACTACTCCTACTGTCTACTGTACTGCTAATCCTACTCTACACTACTCCTACTATCTACTGCTAATCCTATTCTACACTACTCCTACTGTCTACTGTACTGCTACTCTACTTCTACTGCTCTACACTACTCCTACCGTCTCCTCCTCCTCCTACTCTACTAGTACTACTAGCTGCTGGTGCTAGCTGCTGGTGCTGGTGCGGTAAGTGTAACTTACTTCTTCACTACTACTAGCTGCTGGTGCTAGTTGCTGGTGCTAGCTGCTAGCTGCTGGTGCTGGTACTATCAAAAGCATTACTTAACATTTTCATATGCAAAACACACAGTGCCCCAAGCAGAAGCCTGTGAGTGTACATTGTGGATCCTATGTATGTTCTATGATGAGTAACACCGGTGCCTACAGGAGACACCCCTTAAGGGTAAGTTTAAATCTCTTCACCCGTAGTATAAAAACTTCATACATGGTATGAAATACTAAACTGAAACTTGTTCTCTTGTAGTGGAAAGAAGAGAAAGAAATAAAAAGAGACCCCTACAAGGATGGCCAACTCTTAGAGCTCGTCGGCGACCTTTGCAACTTCATATTGTACCAGATTGTACACGTCAAAGGCACCTACCATGACCGAGAGTCTGACTTAGGTAGAAATTCTCAGTACCAACACCTTCATGAGACTGAAAAGCTAGCTCTAGGACATTGATAACAATGTGTATGGAATTTGACATTGGTTTTACCTTGTGAATTATGTCATTTAATGATGGATTGTATATATTCTTGTGAATTGGACTTGTAATTGTAGTTTATATAATACTCTTGTGCTTGTAGTTTATATAATACCCTTGAGCGAACGCGGTTCAGAACGTTGGTCGTGGGGCGTTCAGCGGGACGTTGAGCGAACACGGTTCGAAACGTTGATCGCTCACTCGCAACGCGAACGCGGGAATACGCGGAAACAAACAGGATGGTTTTGGTCGAATTTGAATTCTAAATTTGATTTTTTTGCGGAAAAACGTACTATAGGGGCGGTTCTAGATTGAACCGCCTCTACAAACAGGTATTATAGGGGCGGCTGGTACTACAGCCGCCCCTATAAATCGATTTGTAGGGGTGATCTGGGAACCGCCCCTACAAATACATGATTTGTAGAGACGGTTTGATAGGACGGCTGGCCAAACCGCCCCTACAAATAGTCTTGAGGCAGTGGTCAGGGCGCACAACGACGTGGTGGTCGACAGGCTCTCCGGCGATGTGGTCGGCAACAGGGGGTGCAGGGTCAGGGTCAGGCCGTTCTAGTGGTGGTGGTGATTGCCATCACGGCGGCACTCGCTGAGTTGCTGGCTCGCGTCGATGGGTGCTACCTGAACAAGACGGACAGGCAGAGGAGGAAGAATTGTTGCTTGGTTTGTTTGGGCTGTCGGATGGTCTTCGGATGGCTGAAAATGATCCACTGCTTAAGTTGCAGTAGCGGGATCTCAGTCCCATGGATCGAGACCAGTCCTATGCAAGCAAGCTTGTTTTTATTCCCTATCGTAAAGGTTTTGTGCAGACGTAGCTAGCACGGATGGACCTTGAGCTCCTATGTCGTAGAACGTAGCTTTAGTATTCGGAGGACAAAGTAACTATAAAAACATATTAGCACCCAGTAGGGGGTGTGGTAGAGAAAGAGCCTATATCCCCATCAAAAGCCATTCCCTTATTGTGTTTAGATAAGTAGGATCTGTTAGATCATTGGATTAAGTTTTAGTCATTTAAAGCTTAGTCTTAAATTATCCAAATGGTTGGACTCACCATAAAAAAAGATTTCTAGAAGCGGATGAGCCGTCTCTAACTTTTGAGCTCCTATGCTGTAGAATGTAGCCGTAGCATCTAGAGGACAAAGTAACCATAAAAACATATTAGCACGCAATAGGGTGTGGGTAGAGAAAGAGTCTATATTCTGATAGAAAAAAAAAAGTATATATTCTCCCTTCAAAGGTCATTCCCTTATTGGGTTTAGATAAGTAGGATAAGTTTTAGTCATATAAAGTTTAGTCTTAGCTCATTCAAATAGTTGGACTCACTACTAACAAAAGATTTTTCAGAGGGAGGTCTCTAATCAATGGTCATTGTTAATCACCACGCCATTCTCTTATTGGGTTTAGATAAGTAGGGTAAGTTTTAGTCATTTAAAGTTTAGTCTTAGATCATTGAAATGGTTGGACTCGCTACTAAAAAAGATTTTCTGAGACGGGTCTATGTCTAACCAATAGCAATGGTCATTGTTAATTGCCACGACGTTCCCTTATTGGATTTATATAAAGTAGGGTAAGTTTTAGTCATTTAAATTCTAACTAATGGACATTGTTAATCACCATTTATAGAGGTGGTTTTCAAGACCCGAACCCATGGCTTACTGCTCAGCAATAACACCTCCAACACTGCACCATATATTTATTTGTGTTAACATTTCGTAATCTTATTTGTGTTAACACCTCAGGGCTCTAAACAACTTCAAATAAAAAACTTTCAACTACAAAATTATAGATTGTATTAACAACTACAACTTTGATCTAGATAACATCCAAGTTTGTTTGAAAATTTTAAATTTCAAATTTCAAAATACATGAACTTAAAACAATATTTTTGGATTCTAAACAGTTTAAAATAAAAAACTTCTCAACTACAAAGTTATAGATTACGTCTAGAGCTATAATTTTAATATAAAGTTTGTCTTCACCGACTTCATATGGAAAAGTTATGAATTATTTTTTGATGTAACTATTTTAGATACGTGCCTCTTAGAGTATCTCCAAGAGACTCTAGATCCTTTATAAGTGCTAGGAATAGAGATTTTGGTGAAAAACTATTCTCCAACAGCTTCTCTAAATGGTTATCCAAATATAGCCATATTTTATTCCGGATTTTTCGATAGTCAAAAATAGAAGACGAGAATGACTCTGTAGAGTGCGCATGAGATATAGAAAAACTGTTGGAGAGTGAAAAAATATAGAAAGAGATTTTTATGTAAATGACTCTCCAAATAATGATTTAGAGAGTGAGATTTAGAAAGCCTCTTGGAGACGCTCTTAAGATGTTCACCTCTTTTATCGATTTTTAGAGACGCACACTTAGAGTGACTCTCTTTTAATAACAATTTTCAGAGGTGAGCCTTTGCCTGGAGGCTGCCTAACCATTTACAGGATGGGATCTCTAGACGTGCCCTCCTCTGTTAATCAAAGAGGCTATCTCCTAAAATCATTTTTGTGGCATTGACTAAAAGGTGGATTAAATTTAGTCTTAGGTCATTCAAATGCACTATACCAGATCTCAGTGACTACTACTCACTGCCAGGTGGTATGGCGAAAATTTAGAAAATTGGCAGGAAGCTAAAAACCCGACGGTGATGCCCTATATCACTTCGGCTAAAACCACCACCGGCAGTGATATATCACTGCCGGTTCATGGTACGAGCCGACAATGATAGGTACTATATCATTGCTCGTTTTCGTTCTAGCCCATCAATATTAGTTGTCTTTGGCCGTTGGATCCACCTAACTATCACGACATTGATTCTCCACTATTTATCCCACCTACCACCATTGCTTCTGGTTATAAAAGTGGTGTCCTGACGCCTCCACGACCAAAGATGAGGTCTCCTCGCCAGCTGATCTAGCATGCAAGATACTTTATCGTAATGTTTTCACCACTTACAATATCCACATATATGGGCTATTTTGTGATCCCTCTCATTAGAGACGTGGGAGTATTGAGATGCATCTTGCCAAAAAAAAAAAGACTTAAGCACGAATGCAAATCTAGAATGGATCTAGTGTCATGAACAATTGTGAATTTAATGCATATAATGTGGATCTCAAATGGAAATTTTAATTTGAAGGTGGAAGTTGTGTTCTTATCTAGTTTTATTCACTATTTTTTGGGAAATTGATTTTTTTAAATAATTAATTAAGTGGGCAAAATTATGAATTTGCATAGGCATTTAACTAATTTTCTGTGTATTTGACTTCAATGGATGTTCTGTCTTTAAATTATGGATGGATTTACAATGGATCCAAAGCAAGTCACTTGTACTGCATCAAGGTGAAGAGAAGGATGCATGCGCAGCATATGAAGTTGGGGACTTATCACGGTGAATCAGATTAAGGAAAATGCTAAATTTTATTAAGTATTTAAGGGCTTCAACACACAATTTTGGTAACTTAAATTTGCGCTACTGTTTCTAACACATGAATTTTTATTAGAACCAAGCAATAGTTTATAGATGATTAACGAACGTGGTTACACGCCTACACCCCTACCCCCACGGATCAAATTCCATAATTGATGCCCTATGCACGTGCCTCTTTTATATGGCTACTCCCTCATGGTGCATGGTACTCGAGCAATTTTTGAACCAAATAAGAAGTCTAGTAAAAGACTAACTTAACCCTTACCTATCAACTTGTTTAATTTTTTAATAACACATAGTTTAGAAAGGCATGCATATATTTCATTGATTTCAGTTACCACCAACATGAGTGATTTTGAGCATGGTGTTTATAAGGTATGTACTGTGGTTTTCATAAAAAGAGTTGTCGGGACCTTTCCAACCCAAAACAGTGCATAAGAAAACCTCTGTTGCCTTAGGATTTCTCGTCTTTCTAAAAACCAAAAAAAATCATTTCTAGAGATGACCTATAATCCCCCTCAAAATGCCCTTCAAACCTGCAAAAGGAAAATTCTCTCCAAACCAGTGAGGCAGTGACATTAACAGAACAGAACAGCAATGCAATTATTTTTGCCAAGACAAGATACACGTTCCATCCAACATGCAACAAGCTCTTTATACAGGGAGTGGATGGATTTTAGGAAGGCAAGTTCATCGTCTCTTGCTACCAAAAGTGTGCAACGGAGCGAGTACCGAAGTTGCATTTTGTGTCGGTAACTTTTTCTTCTATATGAAGCTACCGTCATGTGGATAACGAGGAGAATCGATTATCAAGCCATCACAGTAGGACATGTCCAGAAGATCTGATGCGTTCGCCTCATGCATCTCAAGAGAGAATGGATCTGGGGTCGCTGGTGAATGGAAATCATTGGGATGGTGGTTATTAGCAGCCAGCGGCATGACGGCATCCACATGTTCTGATGGAACATTCTGTGAAATGTCTTGACATACATCTGATGGAGAGATGTTTTCGGCCACTGGACTCGTTTGATCCATTTTCAGGGGAGGCCTTTGACAACTTGCTGCAGCAGTGTATACCTTGAGCTCCACTGGGGTTGACAGAAAATCCAATTTCCTTCTGGCTCTGGCACGCTGCTTTGATTTAGCCAATACCTTTTCAGAAACTTTGGCTGAATGAGCATTGGGCCCTTTAGGACAAATGAAATCAGAAGTTTCTTCTCCTGATGTACCAGCATTTTCATCTAGTTCTGGGAGTTCCTGTTTAGATTTGGGCCGTGTTCGTAAAACTGATGGCGGTCGACTTCTGTCAGATGAACCCTGGCTGTCCTTCAGAATATCTGACTGACTGCTCTCTGGAACACTGTCCTTCGGAATTTCTGACTGACTGCTCTCTGGAACTGATATATCTTCTTCCAGGTCCGAAACTTGTTCTAGCAATCCTGAGGCTAAATAAAAATTCAGTTTTCCATTCATACGACCTCTCCAGTGTTCTTTGAGTGCATGATTTGTCCTGGTTATATACACAATATAACAAACACACATCAGTAGGGTACAGAGATACTGAATTATACAAAAGGTTGAAAAATGACAGTAACTGAAAAATATAGGGAATATTGGATGCAGCACAAACTGATGATGGGGGAAGCACACATTTTCTTTTTGCACAGTAAAATCATCCAATCATACCTCCCAGGGAAATGTTTGACCATTTTAAGCCACTGGCTTCCATATATTTGATGAGCTCGAATCAATTTTAGCTCCTCCTGTTCTGACCAAACCTCTTTGTTTATTGCTGGGTCAAGACTGCGTGTCCATCTATATTGAAGGCCCATCAGCACAAAGTGAAGAAAAAAAATCATGCAGTTCTAATGAAAATTTGAATGCAGTCTATGCATAATGGACATTCTCGCTAGTAAATACTCCAAACCATAAAGGCTTCTAATTAACAACAATGATTAACGAATGAATAGTGTCAACGTTATTTGAGTTGACTCATACCACCGGAGACACCGAACCATGCAAAGAGTCTTTGCATCGACACAAAACAAGGTTCAAATCATGGCAATAAAAAAAATTAAAGCTATTACAAACAGGCATACCGGAGAGAGATAGAGACAAAGAGTGTAGTAGTTTAATAGCTTCTTCCCTATTGTGGGATCCCAAAGGATGCGAGCAATATAATGCTACCGCTGGTGAAGACTCTGCAACATCACGAGGTGTGTGACATGACATTTGTGTGCCAGAGGTTCAGATCAACCACTGGAGAAGGCCTAAGTGTTGAAGCGATTGTATTTGGAAACAAATAGCTTATTCCTTTTTACATTCACAGCGGAGGCATAATTTTTAAGGATGTGGGTGTAAGATGTCATCTTCCTTTTATGATTCCTTCAAGATGACATCTCACTTTTATGGTTCCTATTATATGGGCAGAAATAGAATCTTGCTATTATAAAAAACGCAGACCACATTGGCCACAAGCAGCAAGCATCTAGTTTTTTTGCTTGAGACCACAAACTAACAGAGAGCAAACTTGTAACAAAGGAGACTGCATGTTCAGAGCAGAACAGTGTTACTCTACAAAAACTCGACTTGCACGGAACAGACCGCCCCCATGGTATTGCATTAAGAAGAAGCTTCTCACGCGTAGGCCGAGAAACACCCCAAAGGCTGGCTGCCCTGGACATGCCACCAAGTGCCCAGGAAACATGACTCATGTGGTTGCATGTATAACTCAGGACTGTAGCTGATGAGGGGTGTTTTTTTTAACCTAGGCCTGTTTAAATTCGTTCCCACAGGGAGTCAAACTCAGGACTTGGGGTCCTATTTTGTTAGAATTAATTACTCCTTTACTGTAATCTAGCTACCCATGTAATCCCCTAGCTACCTGTGCCGCCTGCCAGGCTGGGCTGGCCCTTTCGGCCGTCTCCCATCTCTATATAAGTGTAAACCCTCTGTAATCTATTGATTAAGGAATACTAAGCCAGTTTGGCCTTCCTCTAATATGGTATTAGACTGATTACGTTCCCCTGTTTTCCGCTCCACCCGCGCCGCGCCTGACTCCTCACATCGCGCGCGCCTCGGGCTGCGCCCGCCGCGCGAGCCTCCGCACCCGCCGCGCGCCCATGGCCGCCCCTCCTTCCGGCGGCTCGAGCTCGGGCGCATCCGCCGCGGCCACCGCGACGAAGCTCTGCGATGAGGCCCTTGCCGCCGCCCAGAAGCTCGAGACCGAGGCTGCTTCTCTGCGCACCACCAACGAGGAGCGCAGCCTGCAAATCCAAGCGGAGGCCGACCTCCTCAAGTCCGCCGCCGCTGCCGCCCTTGACAAGGAGCGCGCGCAGGCGGACGCCCTGGAGCAGCAGGCCGCCGCTCTCCGGGATCGCCTTCGCACCGACTCCCAGCGTGATGACGACGACGACGACGTCCGCTCTGTCACCTCCGAGGCCGCGGCCATCGCTCACCTGCACAGCCAGGCCGCCGCGGTCCAGAACATCAAGAATTTGATTCCAATCGTTCTTGATCTCCAGTCATCCAATTATTCCAAGTGGCGCGGCTACGTCCTCCTCGTCCTCGGCCGCTTCGCCCTGAAGGACCACGTCCTCAACGACGTCTCCCGCCTCTACGATTCGGCGTGGGCTCGCATGGATTGCGTCGTCGTTTCCTGGATATTCAACACCATCTCCCCCGACCTCCTGGACGTCGTCCATGAACATGATGGCATCACTGCTCGGGCGGCGTGGCTCGGGATTGAACAGCAGTTCCTGAACAACCGCGAGTCCCGCGCCATGCTCCTCGATGCCGAGTTCCGCACTCTCTGCCAGGGCGCCCTCTCCATCGACAACTATTGCCGGAAGATGAAGACCATGGCGGATGCCCTTGCTGATCTTGGCGAGCCCGTTCTAGACCGCACCCTTGTACTGAACGTCCTGCGCGGCCTCAACGACCGTTTCCAGTTCATGTCGCAGCTCGTCACTCGACAGAAGCCGTTCCCTTCCTTTGCTGATGTCCGTGCTGATCTGCGCCTAGCCGAGCTCAACATGGCATCTCCCTCGGGTCCTCCCTCGGCCCTAGTCGCCTCGTCGTCAAGCAAGACCCCTGCCCCCCAGCCGGCCTCTGTTCCTGCCTCCCCACGTCCTCACCAGGCGGCCGGGGGGGCCTCGTCTGGCAACGGTCGCGGGCGGCGTCGCCGCGGCGGGCGCGGCTAGGGCAGCACGCAGGGCGCACGCAGAGCGGCGCGCAGTGGCCCTCCCTCCTCAACCCGTGGACCGGGTCCATTCACATGTGGCCCGGCTCCACCCTTGGAGGTCCGCGCGGTCCCCCACCTCGCGTCCCTCCGCCACAGCACGCTCTGGCAGCCTACTACGCTCCTCCTCCGGCTCCTGGGGCATACTACCCGGCACCGCCTCAGGCGGCCTCTTCGGCTTGGTCGCCCTGGACCCCTGAGTCCCTCGCCAGCGTCTTCAGCACCGTCGCCCTCACTCCGCCGCCCAGCTCCTCTGAGTGGGTCTTCGACTCGGGCGCTTCCTCTCACATAGCCGGCAATCCTGGTATGGTCACCATGTCACCAACCTCCTCTTTTCCTTCCTCCATTGTTGTGGGCAATGGCGCCACCCTTCCGGTTGTTAGCACTGGCTACTCAAACCTCACTGACCCATTTCGCCTCAACAATGTTCTCATTGCCCCTGACATCATTAAAAATCTTTTGTCAATTCAGGAATTTACCACTGATAATCTTGTCTCTGTTGAGTTTGACCCTCTCGGTGTTTCTGTGAAGGATCTCCGCACCAGGAACCTCCTTCTTCGCTGTGACAGCTCGGGACCCCTATACACCTTGCAGCTCCCGTCGTCACCATCCGGTTCCTGCGCTCTGGTGGCCACTCCTTAACTACTTGGCATCGTCGTCTCGGCCATCCCGGGAAGGCCACTCTTCAGAGCCTTGCCAAGTCGTCCTCCATCATCTGCAGCCAGCCCAATGCTGACACCCTCTGCCATGCTTGTCAGCTTGGGCGCCATGTTCGCTTGCCTTTTACCAATTCCTTGTCGCGCGCAACTAAAAATTTCGACTTGATACATTGTGATTTGTGGACATCCCCGATCATCAGTGTATCCGGTTTTAAATATTATCTAGTAATTATCGATGATTGCTCGCATTTTCTTTGGACTTTCCCTCTTAAGCTAAAGTCCGACACCTTTTCTGCTCTCTCGAATTTTTTCACCTCTGTGCTCACTCAGTTTGGTTGCACCATCAAGTCTGTGCAGTGTGACAACGGGCGTGAGTTTGACAACTCCTCGTCTCGCGCTTTCTTCTCTGCCAAAGGTGTCACCCTTCGCATGTCATGCCCCTACACCTTGCAGCAAAATGGCAAAGCCGAGCGCATGCTTCGCACCGTCAACAATGTCACTCGCACCTTCCTCTTCCAAGCATCCATGCCCCCCACCTACTGGGCCGATGCCCTTGCTACCGCCACCCTCCCCATCAATCGTCTCCCAACCAAGACCCTGAACATGAGCACTCCTTTTCTCGCTCTTCATGGCACTCTCCCCTCCTACCATGACCTTCGGGCTTTCGGGTGCACCTGCTACCCCAACCTCACCGCCACCACTCCTCACAAGCTCGCTCCACGATCTTCCTTGTGCGCCTTTATTGGCTATTCTCCTGACCACAAGGGCTACAGGTGCCTCGACCTCGCCACAAACCGCGTCATCATCTCTCGTCACGTTGTCTTCGACGAAACAACGTTCCCTTTCTCCCTTCGTCGACCTTCGCCACCCACACACGAGCTTGATTTTCTAACTAACGACGATTCTTCGTCAGTTTCGTTTCCACCTATAGGTACACAGGCTGCACCACTGCCCGGCAAAGACTATGCCCTCCCAGCCGGTGCCCAACTTGGGCACACCGGCGTTCGAGCCGCCCACGGCCTTCTTCTTCGTGCCCGACCGCCAGCACCTCTAGCCTTCTCCAACTCGGTGCAGACATCGCGCCCACCATTCTCCCGCCGGCGCCCATGGCGCCCTGCAGGCAGCGCCCATGGCGTCCTCAGGACGCGCCCGGCGCCCTAGCCAGACAAGTGCCCACGACACCCTGCAGACAGCGCCATGGCGGCACCTCCCGTCTGACAACCTCGGGCACCCTCCTTCGGCAAACCACCGGTCGTCCATGTCTACACCCGGCGTCCACCCGCCCCCAGCTCGCCACCTGAGTCCACTGTTGGACCACCTCCTCGACGCTCCAGCATGATTCCCTCCCCGCCTCGCTACATCAAGAGTGACCCTCCTCTTCCAACAGGAGCTATCTCCATCCCGCGGCCGCCAACACTCATGGCATGGCGACCCGCGGAAGTCCGGCATCGACAACCACGCCTCGCTCGCACACCGAGGCCCCTGTCACCACTACCGCGCTCCTGTCGTGACGCCCTCGCCAACCCTCACTGGCGTCAGGCCATGGAAGACGAGTATGCTGCCCTACTGGACAACAACACTTGGAATCTCGTTCCCCGTCTTGCCAAGGCGAATGTGGTCACCGGCAAATGGATCTTCAAGCATAAGTTTCATGCGGATGGTTCCCTGGACAGATACAAGGCTCGCTGGGTGCTTCGCGGTTTCACCGAACGTCCCGATGTTGATTACGACGAGACATTCAGCCCCGTCGTCAAGCCTGCTACCGTTCGTACTGTTCTCACCTTGGCTCACTCCCGGGACTGGCCAATCCATCAACTTGATGTGAAAAACGCCTTCCTTCACGGACCTTGTCGAAATAGTGTCTTTGCTCTCAACCCACCGGATTTGCCGATCCTGCACTTCCCGGACATGTAAGCAGTGCTCAACAGATCCTCTATGGTCTAAAGCAGCTCATGAGCATGGTGGTACAACCCGGTTTGCCTCCTTCCCCGCTCTCTCTCGGGTTTCAAGGAAGCAAGATCGACACATCTCTCTTTATACACCGCCGTAGCCTCAAAAGCAGTCTACTTGCTCCTCTATGTCGATTTACATTGTTCTCACTTGCCTCCTCCGAGCAACTCTTACATCGTGTGATTGAGGCGCTCAAGAAAGAGTTTGCCATGAAGGACCTTGGCCCTCTTCATCATTTTCTTGGTGTGGCGCTTCAACGCCACAGGATCATCTCACTCATCACAACGTCAAGACATCCTGGACATTCTTGCTCGCCATGGGATGAGCGATCGCAAGCCTTGTTCCACTCACAGCCGACACGTGTGCCAAAGTTCCCGCAAATGCCGGTCCTCCTGTTGTTGATCCCACGACTACCGCAGATCTTGCAGTGCTCTTCATACTGACATTCACCCGGCCGACATTGCGACGCCGTTCAAAGAAATCTGCCTTCACATGCATGATCCTCGGAAGTTCATCTTGTGGCTGCTGCCGCGGATCCTTCGGTACCTTCAGGCACCCTCGCCTTGGTCCGATCATTCCCGGCCGCTCCAACATAGCTTGTCGTGTACACTGATGCAGATTGGGCCGGTTGCCCTAACACTCGACGCTCCACCTCTAGCTATGCTGTTTTCCTCGGTGGCAGCCTCATCTCTTGGTCATCCAAGCGGCAGCCCACTGTTTCATGGTCCAGCGCCGAGGCCGAGTATCGGGCTGTTGCCAATGGCGTCGCCGAAGCTTCGTGGCTGCAGCAACTCCTACAGGAGCTGCGCCACCCTCTGCAGTCTGCCTCCCTCATCTACTGCGACAACGTCAGCGCCGTCTACCTCTCTTCCAACCCCGTTCAGCACCAGCGCACCAAGCACGTGGAAATCGACCTTCACTTCGTCCATGAACGTGTTGCCATTGGTGCTGTTCGTGTTCTTCACGTTCCCACCACCTCACAGTTCGCCGATGTCTTCACCAAGGGGCTTCCTTCTTCTGTGTTCATGGAATTTTGCTCCAATCTGAACGTTCGCTCCACCGACGTTCCGATTGCAGGGGGGGTGTTAGAAGGGGTGTTAGAATTAATTACTCCTTTACTGTAATCTCCTAGCTACCCGTGTAATCCCCTAGCTACCTGTACCGCCTGCCAGGCTGGGCTGGCCCTTTCCCATCTCCCATCTTTATATAAGTGTAAACCCTCTGTAATCTATTGATTAAGGAATACTAAGCCAGTTTGGCCTTCCTCTAATATATTTGAGCCCTGCTAACTAGTAAAGTAGACAATGAGGCTCAAATAAACAGTGCCATGGTGGTTGCTGCAGATTGTGGTGGCGACACAAGCTAAACATAAGCAACCAAATGATAAACACGTGAGGATATAACTTGCACAAGATATAAATTTAAGATAAAATAGATGAAACATTTTCACTTCTACAAATAAAAAAGAAACCAACCTTACAGTACAACAAACCAATAGTTAATTACCTGATTCTGCATTGTTTTGCTTCTCGGCCAGGTATAGCAGATGCAACAGTTTGCCAGTTTTTCCCATGTTTGGCAACCATTTTAGTGAGAATTTCATCTTCCTGAAAGAAAATATTTTTTTCTCAGTAGTCATGATGAAACAAGCCCAAGTTGACATACTACATAAAATTTTTGGTCCAAACAACTTTCCTCTGCTAACCATTTGCCTTTGGTCCTTTCGGGAATTTTTAAACTACTTCCATCCTTGATGCAGTGGGCATTTTTCTTGCACAGTGGGCCCTCTGCTTGATATAAAAAAAAATCTAAATACATACACTTCCATTCCACGAAGATGTGAATATAACAAATAAAATTTAACCAATACAACAGATGATAGTTATATATGAAAGCTGACCATGAGGTATCTGTAACAGCAATAATATCATAATGATGCAAGAAGAGATCACATGCAAACTATTATGCTACAAAGTACCCAACAGTATGTGAAAGAAATATGGTTTGGAATTGGCCCAGGTATAATCATATGGCTGTTGAACCCCACCTTCATAAAACAGAATATTTAAATTTGGGAAATCACGTTCAACTTTGAGTAAGCATTTTTACTGAAATCGAGAAAGAAAGTGTGAGATAGAATTTTTGTGTATGTCACTGGAGGTAGTATCTTCCACTAGATAGATGCACCTTATAGTAAAGTCAAACTTGTATACATAAGCAAAAATAGCTGAATCATCTTCAATAAATGGAACTCCAACTACTTTAGTACTACTAATAATGAAGGTGCATTCTAACTTCTACCTGTCTTTTCTGATTCCATATCATGGCAATGTTTGGTGGTTTCATGTGGTACAACATTCTGCATCCATAGTTAAAAACTGACATAAGCACATAGATACCATTAGAATAACACAAATATAAAAGTATCAGAAAGTAAGTGCAAACAATCATTCAGTTGGATCACAAACTAGGAACAAACTCAAGATTCATATAAAATATCAAACCAACCTTTCTGATGAGTCAAGTGAAAGCATAAACAGGCTTTCAATGCATCCACAAAGCTTTTGACAATGAATTACAGTGCATGTTCTTTGCTAGTTAATTTTTATAGTAATATAGTAATACAACAGCTGGTTGAGAAGTACTACTGCTTCAGATACAGTATCCATGGTTAAGAAAGGCTGTCCTTGGCAATTTGGTGTAAATCAATCAATATACATGTTATCAATTACATAAAACTGCATATTAATCTGAACGGAAAGAAAAAAAGAATGTAAATGAAACAACAACAAAGCTTTGGCAACAGTTCACACCTTGAGCTCCACTGGGGTTGACAGAAAAGCCAGCTTCTTTCTTGTTCCTGCACACTGCTGTGATTTGGCCATTGTCATTTCTGAGATTTTGGCTGAATGGGTATCAGTTGCTTTAGCATAGCATAAGTCAGAGCTTTTTCTTGCTGATGTATTAGCATTTTCAACCAGTTCTGTGAGCTCTTGTTTAAGTTTGGGGTTTGTTGATAAACGTGATGAAAATCTATTTCTATCAGATGAAGCTTTGAAGTCCTTTGGAATATCTGACTGATTGCTCTGTGGAAATGATACATCATCTTGCAGGTCTGGAATGTGTTCGAGCAATCCTGAGGCCAAATATGAATCCAGTTTTCTTTTCATAGAACCTCTCCAGTGTTCTTTGAGTGCATCATTTGTCCTGATTGTACATGGGGTCAACAATTTTAGTGCCACATTCATAGGAGGTTTGAAGCAGGTAGATGCATACCGAATTCTCATTAAGGGAATCAATTAAAATCAACAATAACAATAACCAACATAAAGAGCGTATTTTTTTTTCTCGAACAGTTTTTTTATTTTCTTTACAGGTGTCTCCATCCAATCCTACCTCCCTGGGAAATGTTTGAGCATTTTACACCATTTGTTTCCATAAACTTGCTGTGCACGAATCAATCTTAGTTCCTCCTGTTGCGACCAAGGCTCTTTGTTTATTGCTGGGTCTAGAATGTATTTCCATCTGTGTTTAAGACCCATCAGAACATAAGTGAAGAAAACATTAGATGGCTAATGAATCTGAATGCAGATCAGCAATGCTGTACTAGACATTCTCACTAGTCAGTACTTTAATTCATTAAGGCTTCCAATTTATAACAGTGATTAATGAAATTAAGAGTGTAAAAAACTTCTAGGACATCTCATCTGGAAGAAATTTGTGACCCTTACAGCTATGCTACAAAACCCCTGCAGCAGCAGAAGTGTTGCAAAGATACTTTTTTACAGCCACAGCAGAGGCATTATAATTTCTACTTAAAGGACGTGGATAAAGGTTCAAACCTTAGAACATCTTTTTTTTACCGTAAATACAGCAGGGGAGGCCCCCCACTGTAAGAATTTTATTAAAAATGAGAAACAATGAAACAACTGTACAAACTAAGAGAGGAAAACAAAACAGACAAAGAGAAGGGCGAGAAAGGGAAAGGAAAGGAAAGCTGATCTTTTTGAATCACAAAATCTATGGGCTTGTAGACTAGCTTCCTCAAAGAAGTTTTGCCTCCAAGAGTCAAAAGATGGGCGTCCACGATCGAAGAGGCTCAACAAGGTAATAACATCTTTTGTGATTTGTGTGACAAGCAGCCATCTGGTGTGTTACTTGAAATACACAGTTTTATAAAATCAAATTAGAAGTGGCTGCAACTTGTAACGATGTCAACACAGGCTATGCCAGTTTCAGCGTAGAATAGTGGTAGGCTGATAATGAGGCTGTTGCCAGGGTGGTTGCAACAGCTTGTGCTGTCAATGCAAGCTAAACAATAGCCAACCAAATGATAAACATTAGAGGATATAACATGTCTAATATACTAATTCAAAATGAATTGAAGCAAAGGTTGTCAAGTATAGAAAAAAAAGATGAAACCAACTGTACAGTGCAAGCAATTTACCTTGCCAAGCATGAATGCGCAGTTCGGCCAGGTATAGCACATGCAATTGTTTGCCAGTTTTTCATCCCATGTTTGTTTACCATTTGCGTGAGCGCCTCATCTTCCTGGAACGAAAATTAATTTCTTTCTATTAGCTAAGAATTTGAATAAATACAAAATACAATGTGAATGATAAATATTATAGTCTAAACAACTTTCCTCTGATGACCATCTGTGTATTTGATTTTTGGAACTACTGCTCTCCTTGAAGCTGTGGACAATTTTCTTGTGAGGAGGTCCCTCTGTTTTAAACCAAAAAAACATTATCTAAATACATAATTGATCGACTTCTATTTGATGAATATGCGAATGTAGAGAAGAAGAAATTTTCACCAATAGGACAGACAATAGTTATAAATCAAAAGCTGATGGTGAGGGTGCGTGCATGCAATGGGAGAGCAGTATACTGATGCACGAAAGCATCAGCATGTAAACTATCATATGACAAAGCACTTAGGTGTATCCAAAATACAGAATGAAACTTAGGCCAAATGTCGCAAATCTGTGTATCTTTGCAAGAGAATGATTGTTTAGGCCTCCCTTGATAGCAAAGGCCTGGAAACATGGTACAGGGCATATATACTGCTTGAGGAAATCAAGCACAACTCTTAGCTGACCTTTACTTGCAGAAAGCAACACAAATAGTATGTGGAATGACAAGCACGCGTATGCATGGTGTCGGATACCGTAAAAAGGGGTACCCTAAGCAAGAACCGAAAAGATTGCTTAGAACCTCGCAAATATCAAAGCCAAAGGACAATCACAGGGTCTCGGCCGATTCTCCGACTCGCCCGAAGCCCGCGTCGCAACGACTCACCGCCTCGCCGAGGCCCTCTCGTGCCGAGGCCCCGCTCCACAAGGCCTCGGACGGGTTACCGATTCTCCGATTCGCCCGAGGCCCCGCGAGTGAAGCCCCGAACGAAGTACCGATTCTCCGACTCGCTCGAGGCCGGCTCGGCAACAACCTCGTCGCCTCCGCCTCGACCGACTTCTCCGACAAAACGTCACGCGTCCAACCACTCCCGCGACGTCAGCCGCATGTGGGCGCAGTACAGCAGGGTGGCCGACGGGACGTGAGACAGACGAAAAGGGTTATCACATCAGGTTCAAAGATCGCACTCACCCATGCTCAAGCGTCCGTCTTCGCACTGTGCTACCTAATCCTCGCTCCAGAGCAACCTGGCGTGGGGAAGCGAGCACGGGTCACTCAGCCTCGGAATCGGTGCATGAGACCAACTGCTCCCTCCAAGGCCTCGGCAATCCACTTCGTCTCTCGGCGGCCTCGGGATTCGCGCCCACCGAGCCCCCCCGATGGCTCGGCCTCGGCACCAACTCGAGCCTCCCCTCACCACACCCGTGACGACCAAAAAGACACCGTCGGTCATACCTCGTCAAAGTCATCACCGAGCGCGCCACGCCATACGAAAATCGGTGTGACCGCGGCGTTGCTCCAAGACATCAAGGACAAGACCACTCCATGGACCATGCCGCTACACTAGTAAGCTACAGACTCCAAAGACGCCACCCCGCTTCCGCCGCATGGCGAACACATCTATCACCCCCGTCCCTCCTTCAACTATAAAAGGGAGACCGGGCCGTTTCTAAGGGGGGACTCACGAACTCACGGAGATAGACTCATGTAGACACACGCTCTCCCAAGTCGCCTTGAGAGCAACGTCTCAAGCAGCCACACTGCTCCCACACCGAGACCTAGGACTAGCTCCTCTCTCACCCAGCTTGTAACCCCCTACTACAAGCACTTCGGTGCAAGGAATACAAGATCGATCTCTCAAACTGGACGTAGGGCACCAATTGTCTGAACCAGTATAAACCTTGTGTCTCTTTGCATCACCGTCCGGGATTAGGGACACGCAGTTCACATTTACTAGTTGGTTGAGGACCCCCGGTCCGAAACACCGACAGTTGGCGCGCCGGGTAGGGGCCTCTGCGTGTTAGCTTGGTCGTCCCAACAAGTTCCGGATGGCTGACCCCATACGCCCACTACGTCTCGGCACGGTGGTCTGGTTTGTGAGCCTAGAGTTCATGTCTCTAGGATGTGGGTACGATATGGTACTCCTCGCACCCAGAGCCCCACCACCCGACGACGACGTCACGCGACGGCAGCGACCCGGCGTGGCGGCGCCCGGCCCGCCCGCGTCGTCGCCTTCGCCATATGCACGACGCGAAGGGACTACCCGACACCAAGACGAGCTTCGGGCGGCGCGCCGCATTTCCAGCCGGCATCCCATGCCCGGACATTGGTACAGAGTCCTGGCTGGGACTCAGATAGCTTAAGCTCAGGCGGGAAAGACGCCAGAAGCGCAGCGACGTCGTCCGTCGTCAAGCTCGCCTCGCCGCATCCCGAGGAATCGACTCAAAGCGAGCGGACCCAGCCGTGGCACCATCCTTGTATCCTTTCGGGCGAACAACATCGCCGCCGCCCTACGCTTTCGCTTACGCCTCACAAGACGCGAGCCCTCGGACGCCACCGACGATTAAGCCCCGACTTCTCCACCACAACCTCGACCCACACCCACACCGACACCTCGGAGGAGGGGGCGAGGCGTGGGCGGGCGGACTTCTCCGGGCCATGACCACGAGGCTATCTTGCCGCTTCTTGGCCGCAGCGACTCATCGCTTTGGCTACTCCGGACTCCGATGACGAAGGCACTTACAATCCCACTCGAGAGTGCTTCCACATCGGGCTCGGAATGCCAGGCAAGTAATGAGAGAAGGGGGCGAGCAACCGCTCCCGCTCCGCCAAGGCGCGGCGACGCCACACCTTTCGTCGTCGAGCCGGCGGCACGGAACGTGAACGCCGCCCCGAGGAACTCCGACGCTGGACTGGAGCAACTCCGTGAGCTCCGGGCAAAAGTCGACCAAGACCGACTCCTGCTGCAGCAGCTCCGAGACACTCTCTCGGCGGGAGAGCGAGGTCGCGGTGATGGTGGAAGGGCCCGGCGGAGGGCCCACGACGTACACCGCCGCATCAACAACGACGAAGGAAGTGAGCAACCCCCAATCTTCAATCGTGCTAGCTGTAACGTCATGGCGGCCGCGATGCTGGTCCGGCGCGATGCGAGAGCCTCTACCACGGAGGGGCGGCGGGTTCATGGCGACCTCCGAGACCTTCTCGAGACCGCCACAGACAAAGAAAGCCGAAGCTCCGCGTCTCGACGGCGTGAGGACACCTCGAAACGGCCCTCGGTGCACGATCGCCTCAAGGCCCCCTCAGTTCACGACCGCCTCAGCGATCGACGTGAGGCGCCAGACGACCACGATGCGGTCAGCAGGCGACAACGCCACGACGACGATGGGCCCGCCCGAGGCTACCACCCGCACCGAGGCGGCCGCTACGACAGTGGCGAGGACCGCGGTCCTTCTCCTGGACCGCCTGGACCTCGAGTCTTTAGCAAGGCCATCCGCGGCGCCCCATTCCCCGCCCGATTTCGACAACCGCCCACCTCGCGAAATCTGTTGGCGGCGAGACCAACCCCGAGTTGTGGTCGGCCGACATCGTCGGCTTGTCGGCTAGGCGGCGCGAACGATGACCTCCGCTCATCATCCGCAACCTCCCTTTGTTCCCTGCTGGACTCGGTAGATGAGCACAGCCTCCGAACACCTCCCGCCTTGCAGATCCACAATCGGCGCGACTTGGTAAAGATCTTCGCTCGGAATTTCCGTGGCACGACGTAAAGTCGCCAGAGAACTCCCTGGGACCTCAAGAGTTGTCGCCAGAAGCCGAACGAGTCTCTCCGAGACTTCATCCGGCGATTCTCCAAGCAGTGCACCGAGTTGCCCAGCGTCGGCGACTCGGAAGTTGTCCAGGCTTTTCTCTCCGGCACCTCCTGTCGCGACCTGGTCCGAGAGTTAGGCCGGAACGTACCAACCTCAGCGGCCGCGCTCCTCGACATCGCCACCAACCGCCTCGGCGAAAGAGGTCGTCGGGCCATCTTCCCGATAATGACGCAAAGGGAAGCGGAGGGACGAGACCTCGCTGCCCTCGGCCCCCGTTTCTCGAAGAAAAAAAAAAGGGCGCCCAGGGAAGCCAGAGGCCCTTGAGGTCGATTTCGTCACAGCCCGATCGCAAGAAAAACACGAGGCCCCGTCAGGGGCCCCTAATATTCGACGACATGCTCAAAAAGCCCCGCCTCTTACCACGGGCCCTGTAAAGCACACCCTCGAAGAATGCACCATGTCTCGGCGTTACTCGCCAAAGCTTCGGGCTTCCGGCACGCACGCTTGGGGAAGAAGGGCGCCGCGACGGAGACAACGACAAGGGACGACGGGTTCCCCGAGGTGCACAATGCCTTCATGATCTTCTATGCGGGCCTTCAGCGTGCCTCACGGCGGCAACGAAAGAGGGAACGCCGGAGGTCTTCTCGGTTGAGGTAGCTACTCCCAAGACCTTAACGCGGTCTCGGAGGCGATCACCTTCGATCGGGAGGACCACCCCAACTATGTCCCAAACCCCTGGACAAGACCGCTGTCGTCGATCCGATCATCGGTAACACCTGGCTCACCAAGGTACTGATGGATGGAGGCAGCGACCTCAACATCCTCTACGCCAACACCATGGAGCTCCTAGAGCTTGATCAGTCACGACTCCGAGGCGGTGCCGCACCCTTCCACGGCGTCGTGCCGGGGAAGCGCACGGGACCCCTCGGACGCATCGACTTGCCGGTCTGCTTTGGCACTCCCTCCAACTACCGCAAGGAGATCCTCACCTTCGAGGTGGTTGGATTCAAGGGGACCTACCACGCTATCCTGGGGCGCCCGTGCTACGCCAAGTTCATGGCGGTCCCGAACTACACCTACCTCAAGCTCAAAATGTCGGACCCCAACGGCGTCATCACCATCGAGTCCACGTACGAGCATGCATACGACTGCGACATCGAATGCATCGAGTACGCCGAGGCTATCGTGGAGGCCGAGGCCCTCATCGTCAACCTCGACCAACTCGGTAGTGAAGTACCCGACTCCAAGCGCCGTGCCGGGACTTTCGAGCCCGCAGAGACCGTCAAGCTCGTCCCGGTCGACCCCA